TAAGTGGTGTTGCGGTGTATGCCGTGTACATATATATTTTGGTTAAACCGTATGTTGTGGAAAACAAAAATAAACTACAGTATTGTATTATAATTTTTTATCTCATAAGTCATAACCGTGCGTGTTTTCCGTTGTACTAATATTGTAAGAACTGTTTAAGGCCGCGGTGGAGTACGGAAATCAATTATGCAGCTGACTCATATGATATCATTTTATACGTATTAGTGCTGCACTAAGATTCGTCTCTAAGACAGCTGTACAGCCAAGGCGGATTTTGTGAAATCCCACGTTCACTCGGTTAACGCGTCATACGCCCGATATACGTGGTAAATTCTTAATTAAAAATAATTGTGCTACTAGCACTTTACACCTAATGTATGTACAACGTAACGTACATAAGATCGTCGGTTTTCTTTACATTTTATGCGCGTCTAGAGGTTTTTTGCAATATGTAATTCTGATATAGATGCTGACGGTTGCGATTGTATACACGGCATAGGGTATATAATACTGCTGGACTCCGTCACGACCTCGTCACGGCCATGTGGTAGCGCACGCCATAGTAAAATAATAAAAAACAATAATTACAACTATGAATGCTTGGTTTATGTCAAGAACGCGAGCGATCTTGTATACACACGTATCGCAATAAAATCGTGTAAGACACTAAAAATTAAAATACCTGCAATATAATATGTGCTAAATGTGTTTTGATCTTTACACAAAATATACAAACCGAACATTCAAAATACAAATATGTTTTTATATTATTATTATTGTTTTTTTATTATTGTGTTCGTTAATCAGAGATGGGAATAAGGATCGAAGTATTAAATCATACAAGTAACAATATGATGGTTAGTTTTTCCAAACTATCATCAGAATGTTTCAAGAAGTAAATGTATAGGTATACATTACTTACCATAAGATACCTATGCCTTATGAGTGTATAAACGTTTTATACATTGTATTAACATTGAAATAATCAATGCCCAACTCAGTCGTTAGCATGTTATCAGACATCGCCTTAGTGCCAAAATTTAGACTCCCGCCCCAAAAAAAAAATAGTATACAATTTTACTGACTACTTAGTATTATTATTATTTTTCCTGACCATTGTTTTATTTAGTTTGAAATGTCTCTTATAAGTTATACAGGGATCGTTTCCTTTTATCGTTAATTACTTATGAATTAATTCTGATTCATATTATGTATGCTTTCAGACATATTATTTAAAATTTATTTATAATGTTGTCCCTGAACTTGGATAGGAAGGTCGGTTTTACATGAAGGTTAGATTGGGTTTCTACTTTAGATTTAATAGTTTTATTTGCACAATACTTCATCAGTAAAAATATAATATATTTGTAAAATAAAACAATCATGCGCCCATCAAGTTGATCAATTTTACATTTATATAAAAACTAGAACTCCAATAATCTGTCATAGTGTCATCTTTATCAATTTAATATCTGATATTAGGTGTTACAAAAAATTACATTCGTTATGCTATTGGTTATAAGTCGTAAGTCCAATAAAATATTTTATAATATTAACTTACTTGCATAGTGTACGACTTGTGTAAAGGACAGTAAGTTGTGTGATTTTTATTTTTTTTGATTTATAAACAACAAAGTTCATACGATTAACACACACCGTGCTTTGCCTATTACAATGGCTGTTAACGTCACTTGTACAGTGTACTGGAGTGTATTGTTAAGATTAATGCTCTGAAGTAATCACACTTAGTGCAGCAATATTGACAAATAAATGTATGATTGTTACAGACATTCGTATAATATTTTTTTTGTCCTCTAATAATATTTGTGAAAGATTTTGAGAAACCATGCCTAATGTAAAAGCACGAATTTTACAGAAGACCCGAAAATAAATTTATATCTTGAAATATAAATAGGTATTTGTTACATGTTTAAAACAAATTATTTAACTGAAAAGTACTCAGTAGGCGATAGAAGTTTACTAAGGTAGTCATTATTTGGTACTAATTATCTTACTTAGTAAGTAATACTGATTTAAACATTAATCAGTTTCCGTTGTCCGTTTTCATTCACATCACGTACATCTCTTAAATTTTATTCTCGACTTCTAAATTGTAATTGCTTACTAATGATTACCGATGAATAAAAAAAAATTGTTTGAGTGCGCTTATACCCATGGACACATATAGGTACATATTTTTGGGGTTTTTCATTCTTAACGTTCCCTCTTCTAACTGACCAAAACAAAAAAATATTCAACTTCGATAGTTTTAGTCTAAGGTATGATTCTAAGCACGCGTGACATAAGAAGATTTAAAAGAAAACCACAAATCTTACTAATCTACATACGCTCTTTATAGAATTGGTTACGATTATTTGTTATGGAACAATTTCCTGCTAGAATTTGCTATTTAGCTATTTATTTATTTATCTAACGCTTCTGCTATACATTTAATTTAGTCTTTACCTTACAGAGGACAGCTATATTAATCTTGAATCCATATAAACAGTCATGGTATTGCTGTTAGGTAACATAACCCTGATCACAAACCATGACAATGAAGAGCCAAAGAGAGAGGGAGAGAGAGATAGAGAAAGGTTGGCTCATGCCCGGCCACAGTTAAATTAGTCAGTGAAAGTGATATATACACTTGATTTCGTTGTTAATGTCAAGTTCATAGTTAGGTTAGGTTTGTTGTGTGGAATAAATTATTACTGTTAAAAATTGATTATCGATCATGTCAAGTGTCAACTAATAATTAAACAACTACATGATAATGTTATTTATAGTTATACATGTTGTTTCTTATATAAGTTTTTTTTTTAGTTTACTATATTATTATGTACTTTTATTTGTACTTATGGGATTCATTTGGCGAAATTGTTTTTTTTTAAATGTGTAATAGTCGTTACAGTTTCATAAATAACCTACACGCCGTGGACAACATTAATAGTATACCTTAAGAACTTGTTAATTATTATTTATTCACAACATGTAACTCTATCGATAAAGATATGCATTTATAATAATATGCAAAAGAACGTTTCCTCTTTTCCGATAATAATTAGTAGTATAACTAATTGAAATGTAATTACATTGAACTGCGAACAGTATGTGGACCTGTACCTGTGGACACACTTTATTTATGATATTTATGGTAGTAGTATCGAATTCTTTTTAGTTTAGCACAAAAGAGGAATTAATGAGATCAGTACATTGACAGTCATTTCCGCACTCTCATAATTTTGTTTACAACATTTTATTTACACAGAATTAAAAAGATAACCAATACAGTAGCATTTATTCTACGAACACGTTAAATCTCAATCTCGACTCAACTGTACTATTATGTATAACATGTAACGTGTAATAATTTTTTAAAAAAACTGATACATGATTTTGAAGATTAGTGAACTAGAACACCAATACACAAGGTGTCTACTGTTGGATGTTGTTAAATTTTTAATAAGTTAATGATTATCACACGAACCTCAGACAGAAAGCTTTGCAAATTATTATAACTAAAGGTGATAACATCACTTTCAAATAAGCGTTTTGATGCGAAACTCTTCAATAGGTATAAATATAATAATAACTTTAAGAAACGTCAATCATGTTATTTAATTTATTTGGGTTTTCAAGATAAAAAAGTGTCAACATATAACATAACTTGACTATTAAGTTTAGAATAAACTTTTGAACATTTTCACTGATAAGTATAAAGCGTATTAGGATATATTTTAAGTTGCACTTGTTAAATTAATTAGTTATGAGTAAATATTTAATCGTTAGTTCTGCAAAAGTTACTATTTCAATTACTTAATCAATTTATGTTCTGATAATCAAATTTAATTTACTTATCACTCAACATTTATGACGATTTTTTAAATTTTATTCAGATTTCAGGTCGATTGAAAATTTGCCTTTTTCTGTACATATATTAGTAGTCTATTTAAAAACAATTAGCGAAGAATATAAAAAAAAAAATAATAAAGACTAATATTTATTACTTACAATATTTAGACATCTATGATGATTGATGCCTAGTATATTATAATGTCAGTTATTAGTGTTTACAACGTATGTGTAATTATTTAATGAAAACAAAATGTGATTCATTGGTTTTTGAATTAATTAAAAACACAGTATTTATAATATAATAGTGGTTATTAATTATTCATTGGCGGGTTTGATATTTAAGACTTATTTTCGTACATAATATCCGAATAACTTAACGAAAAACACAAATATGAGTGTTCCTATAAGTTTTCTCGGTGATACCCATTATTGTTTGTAACGAGAAAAATGTAAAAAATATCGAATATTCGTTATTATGAAATGTTATATCACTGTATTAATCACCGGTTTATTTGTTTACCTGTTTTTGTTCGTTTGATTTTTTTCAATAACAAATCCGGTTTGTCGGCTCGAGGATCAAACGGTAATTGGTAAGGACGCAGTGTCCGAGAATTTGGTTTTTTTTTTTTAAAGAAGTCCGACTCACTGGAAGTGGAAAGACGTGGAAGTGGAAATTATGCATTTCATTAGAATGCATACACGTGTGTAGTTACTGTTATTTTTAAACCAGTTTCGCAAGATAGATAAAAAACAAATTATACGAATAAGACCTACCCGGCGAAAGAGAAATATACGAAATCTATTGACTACCCGATAAAGACAGACTGCAATAACCCATAGTAAATTCTCGTGTAGTAAACTTCAAGTCCTATCCGTTTTCCTAATGCCCACAAAAATCGGTACTATATCCGATCACACTCGGTTGCTGGCAACGGTCGTCTACCACCTAATCGAGGGCAATCGGTAATCTCGAGACATCTGTTCGAGTTTTTATGGAATTACCCACGGACGGGTTCTTCGGTTTCGACCGACACTGTAGGTATAATGTGTATTTCCCCGCCACATTTCCCCGTCGAAAACTATCTAGGAAGTAGTCCGTCACCTAAGCGTTCTCTGTGTTTTAAATATTGAGAAAAACCACTACTCGCCCAGTATTCGAGTCAGTTCATTCGTGCCTACCGAACTGTGTGTAGTTCTTATACATATTAGACACACGTCAATTGAATCAGATTAGCTTTTTTTTCTCAGGAATATTTACAAAGCGCGTTCATATATCGTCCGCGTGTTTGTTTATTCGCAGCCGGCAAAGTCCATATGACCGTCTAAGAAGGTACATTTGGAGTTGTCGAAGTGAACGCGAAGCTATTTCGATTTAGTGACCGTCCGTTGAGGAAGTCTTCAAAAAAAAAAAAATATAAGGTAACCTCTACTAATTATTTATCTATAAGCTTTGTTTGGTTTCGCAGCAATGAGCGTTTTTCTTATTCAAATATAATTTCCAACATCGTCGTGCGCAGCTCTTTAATTGGTCTAAAGATCATAGATCATTACAACTTCACATTAATTATGTACACTGTGGTATGTGAACATAAGCCGTAAACATACCTTCGAGGGTTATAAAGTCGTGTACAAACTGAAAGGCTCAAATTAAAACAACCCACCAAATTTTACTTATTTTCAATAAAAAAATTAAACCAATTCGACAAGCAAGAATTCGTTTTTATTGCATACAAAACGAGCATAAGATCAAAACTACATATTTTCTAAACTAATTTTAGCAAAAAATTTACTCAAGTGTCTATTAATACAATAAATTACTCGTGGTAAATACATAATAATAAAGGACTTAAGTCCAGGACTTAGGTATCTCTTAAGCCCAAAGGGGCAGCGTACAAGGTGGGCACCTTCTAGCACCAAACGTTTAAAGTTAAACTATCGTTCTCGGTTTGACTGATTTTCAGACACAGTGTGTCACAATTGTATCTTAAATTTATGTAACAAAAAAAAACTGCATAGGGTTTTAATTTACAAAAGTACCTTAAATGCCCCAAAATCATAAAAAAAAATCTAAATTTAACCCAACAGGGAGATGGATATATTCAAAGAAAATATACGCGAGTCCCACCCATTTTCTTTAAGTTTAGGTTCTCAATGACCCTCTTCTAATACAGATATATAATCTTCAATTATATTTGTTCTGGATCTATAATATAGATACCATACACATTATGTACTATTTTTAATATTTAAACTTACATAAGCTAATTAGTTAACTTGTATTTTTATGTTAATTTTTTATAGAGGTAACTGTTGACTAACATACATACGTTATATTTTGCTATTAATATTGTACTTAATTGCTATTAATTAACGTATATTCTAATTTAACTGTATCGATGACTCGACATGATCCTAAACTTGTAGTCACACCATTGTGAATATGAAGTAGATGTTCAATATTTATGAAATGGTAATTAGTATCCACATTTGATTAGTTTTTTTTAAGTTACATTCGAAGGTGACAGTGATAATTTGTTTAATGACTAAAATAAAATATATGTATGCAAATCCTAAAAGTTCTTTGGGATATAATCATAACAGTTAATTTTCTAAAATTACATTTATTACTAAAAAAACGTTATCACATAATAATATGACCTATTTTGTAACTTTCAGATGGCATATTTTTATAATTGTAATTATAGATTACATGTAATGAGAACTAAAAATTATCTTTTTGAATATTGACGATAGTGGAATAATAATATCTCATATTATGTCTTCAATAATTATTTATCTCTCAAAAAGTAAACCTTTGTTGATCTGTACAAATCTCGAATAGACCTTATTTTATTGTATGTAAAATCTATTTGGACTTTAGTGGTATGAAATAAGTGTGTCTATAAAGCCGGAATTTAGCTGAATTTAAGCGTTTATAATGGTACATAGGATTGCTTGTTAACTTCATTGTCCAACCTATAAGTGAGTTAAATTAACAGTTTTAGTCTTTTACGGGTTTATGTAGTGGCAAGCGTTTTCGCCAAAGTTGAACAAGTAACTCCATTTATGTAATTCGTCAAGATACTAGTTAAGAACGGGAGAAAAATAACGTTAAGTTACAAAGCTATTGATTTTTGTAACTGTATTGTACCTTTGAAATTGTTTATAATTTTTAAACGATTTTGTGATTTTATAACTAGTTATTCTTCATTCTTGCCCTTTGCCCAATGACTTCGTTTTATTTTAGATGATTATAAATAAGTCGGTATACATTTTTAGTTTTTATTATTAGCAGAGCCTTTTTTCATAATATAATATTAGAAATTGTAAAAATCGAAGAGAAAAAACTTCTTTTGTCCAGATCATTTTTTTATCAACAATAAAATTGATATAGACATACAAATCACCCATAATTATAAATTAAAATAATATTTTGGCGAGTATCCTATTTAATTAATATATATATATATATTTATAGACTACTCAAGACCTTACTAGTTTTTTTGGCCTTGAATAAATTTGGTTTCGGTCTAAGTATTATAATTAAGCTTAAGATGTAGGTAACGATATCTAATGGATACCGGGTCCGATCATTTTTCTGCGGTTTTCTTAACCATGATAATATTTTAAAATGTAGACTACGTACGTTAGGTGACGTCATTAAATGAAAATGAGATGCTTTTATAAAAATGCAAGTAAAACCCCAACCAATGAATAAGTGAGGTCTGTAGTGTGGTATGTATGTTCCATGAAATTACCATAGTAATAACGTCTGCTGCTGTAATTAGTCTTAAGTAAATTATTCTATTAGACGCTAGTAGTTTTAAAATATTTTACCATGTAAATAACACAAGATAACATTATAATTCATTCGATACATTTACCTTTTATGTACAAAACTAATCTCAGAACTTTGATGTCCCAAAAGTTATTACTAGAACATTTTTCTCTTGGAAAACGATCCAATATAAATAATAAATATCGAGTTTAAATTTTATGTACGAATTCAATACAAATGTATTTATTATTATTCCTTACAGGATTTATATATTTATCCAATTCTATATTTCTATTATTATGAATATTATTTCATTAATTCATTTTACTATTAGTTACTTTATTTTACACATCAATTAAACATATACAATTTAACTGTTGACATATTGTACTAATATATTATTACTTATCGAGCAATTTGTTTTTACAGCAATGGCAATTACTGATGTAAGAACCATGGAAAATTTTAGTTCTGGTGAAAGCAATAAAAGCACTAGCCCTACATTGTCCGAAGTACAAACATTTTACAATGGGTCGACGGTCTTTTTAACGGGTGCGACTGGATTTGTGGGAAATTTGATATTGGAAAAACTAATAAGGTACGTTATTTGCTTTCGATTGTTTAGAAATTAAGATTTTTTTTTTGTGTAAGTGTTATTTTGTAAACACATTATTACATTTTTTGTTCTAAGTAATACATTTTGTAATCTTATTTTTCTTATTTTAGAATTCTTTTTTAAACTAAAATATATGACGCACTGTCGACTACATATCTGCCCCTGAATTGAATAGCTTAATGTTCATTGGAAACAATGTCTAATATTACTTAATACATATAATGACTAATAAGCGTAAGACTATAATTATTTCATAATTATGTCAAATTACCGAGTGGGATGTATTGTGTGCTAATATAATTTTTAAAAAGTTATTTCGTAGAAATTAATTGTTATATTTACTCACCCTGACGCTTAAAAACGGGCTAACATTTTTTTTTAATGTCTAAAATTGTAAAACAAGTTGATTGTTGAACTCACAGTTGCGCAATCATCTGGTATATCATTACTGCAAAATCATGGCTTCCCTATCTTAGACGTCATTGGCCGACTATGAATAATTTAATTTGTGTTAAATACAAACTAAAAAATATTATAATTCTTTTGTGATACCGTTAAAAAACCCGGTAGAGCATAGACGTTTACATTTTACAAACTTGTTTTAATACCTGTTTCCGAGTGTTCGTTAAAACTTAAAGTATAGCAATAGTAACTGTTGTGTATAATGTATGCGTCCAATGTTGATTATCAAGAGTACCATATAGGGTTTATAGGATCATCTTTATAATAATAATCATTATTAACGGAATTAAATTCTAATTATAGTTATGCGGTTATGACAGTACGCGTGATACAGTAGTTAATGTAACGATAATTTTGAAAACATAGTCATAATCATTCTTAAATCTTTAGGCACAGCACAGGAAGAAAACCTGAGATTTATAAAAAAAAAGCGGTAACAATTATATTAAATAGTATGTTTGTAATTAATAGTTTTCCGTGAAAAAATAATCACATGGCCGTTTGCTCCAACTATACTTAAAATGTAATGATACTGAACCTAAATGTTACAATACTGAAACTATAGTTTAAGCTATATACTTAAATTTTAAATATATAGTTAGTGCAGATGGACATCATTTATAATCTACGTTTATCTACGTATCTACTATATTTAATCTACGTAGTATAAATTGTAATTTATAAATATTGATGTATTACATTTTTTGCGTAATATAATGCAACGGCCAACGAATGTTTTTATTCTGTATTATTTGAAATATTCATTTTTTTAACAAACATAAAAAACAACAAGCATGAATAGTTTTTGGCATAAATATTATACTAGAACTCAGATGTGTTTCAATTACCGTTAAATAATGTGTTATAACACAAAACATTATAAATATTATTCAACGTCTTTTTATTTTTTTTACAGAACATGTTCGGGCATAAAAGCAATATATATTTTAATCCGGGAGAAAAAAGGCAAGTCAACAGAACAACGTTTCAAAGATCTATTCAACGACCCAGTGAGCAAAACAATTAGATAGCTTATTAAGAAAAAGTATTTTAAAAGAAAACGCATTTTACTTTTAAATTTTGTAGACAGAATAAAAAAATTATCATTATACTGTTATGGCATAATGAGTATTATTTATAGTCAATAACTGACACTAGGTCAACTGTGGAACAACTTTACATCGTCTAAATGTTCGGTGTACAATACATGTAAATTAGTATTTGCACTAATATAATTTTTTTAAAAATATATTTTCACTGTCACATTTCATTATATGGCTAATAAAATTATTTCTAAAACAAATAGTATTATATTCCATCTAGTTTCAAATTGATACCATAATTTTTATTATTAGTAATATTATTATATATTAATGTGATAAACACTAGAAATGTAAGTTTATTTTTTATAGTCAAAACTTTATAGCGTTAAATAGTATACCCTAGCGCGATGAACGATGATATGACCATTGATCCATAATATTATGTAATATTAACATCGTTACATTATTATCACTATTATTTCAATTTACTATAATACTTTTTGAATAATATGTATATCATTGAGAAATTTGATTATTATAATCAAATTGTATGAAATTTATTGAACAGGTGTTTGATCTTATGAAGAAAGAACAGCCCGATTACTTAGAAAAAGTGTCGGCAGTCATAGGCGATTGCGAAAAACCGAATTTAGGTATCAACGAACAGTATACAGAAATCCTAAAAAACGAAGTAAATAAAATAGAATTAAAGAAGGAATTCGTCGTTAATATACTTAAATACCTACTTATTAATTATCTACCTAGGTAAACATAGTGATACATTCGGCGGCAACCGTCCGGTTTGACGAGCATTTGAGGAAAGCAGTGAAAATCAACATAATAGCTCTACAGGACATTCTTAAGATTTCTAGGGAAATAAAAAACTTGAAGGTATTTATTGAAAAAAAATATCACTAAATAATAACTTGTGTTCGGGCTTGGATTAATTTTTAAACGATTTACGCAGGCTGTCGTTCACATTTCAACCGCTTATTCCAACTGTGCCGGCCGGAAATCTGTCGATGAAGTCTTCTACGACTTACCGATTTCTGGAGATAACCTTATACAAGTTGTCAACAATCTCAATGACGAATTCATTAACAATGTCACGCCTTCGTAAGTGCCGTCATAATATACGATTATCACACATAACTATACAAATATAGAGTAGAAAAAAAGATTCAAACTTGCCAATATAACTTAAATAAGACTTCTATTCAAAATTAACTAGGATGACACTGCCAGCGAGACAATACTTTGTTTATATTAAAAATGTTGAACTTTTTGGTAAATAATAACTGGTTGTTCATCGTTAATTTGAAAATCTTAGACAAATTAAATGGTTCTCCTATGAATAACTACTGTAAAAACAAAACGTAGCATTAAACCACTCTGTTTATTAACTATATTATAGACTGTAGTTCATTAATTTTAGGGTGCAAAACGTAGTCATAAATATACATATACATAGTATCAAGTATACCTGTGCCTATCTATATCATGTAATATAAATTTAAAAACATGCTTTCATTAAGCGGGAGTCAACCCGAGTACCATGAGCAGCATAAATGGTCTTATGTGCATATTATACATTATTTGCAATGCATAAGCATTTTGGTTACCTATCTTAATTTTTATTCTCAGTGTTTATAATAAAAAATGATTTTAAGTAAACCGTTTGTTTAATGAGTTGTACACATTTTCAGACTTCTAAATAAATGGCCTAATACGTACGCGATGACCAAAGCTATTGCCGAAGGAGAAATTTTGCATCATGGTAGAGGTCTACCAGTCGGTGTCGTTAGACCTTCTATGAGTAAGTTCGTGGTGGTGTATCTTGTATTGTGTATTTTCTTATTTTTCCTTCTTTTGCAGTCTTAGCCACTGCTAACGAACCGGTACGTGGGTGGATTAACAACGTGTACGGACCGACAGGGGTCGTTGCCGCAGTCGGTGCTGGTCTTATGAGAACTATGTGTGCTGATCCGAATAAAAACGCCGACTGCATACCTGGAGACTTTGTTAGCAATTCTGTAATCGTTAGTGCTTGGGATGTGCACAACCGATGGTTAGAACCAATGTCCATCATAATATGTATTTTCCCAATCAGAAATGTCTGATTTACGCTTATACGTCTACCAATCCTTGTCATAAAACTGGCTTCAATTATTTTCAGTACTTGAAAAATTGTCTCTTACCAGCTCGTCACTCCATACTTTATCGGTGTCCCTTAAATCTTTTATCTTTTACCGTTATTCTTTATTTAGAGCGTCAGTACATTTGACTCTTTCGTATCTAACATACAAATATTTTATATTATTTATAGGAAATCGTACACTGAAGCAAACTCTTTAGAAGCTGAAAGCGCGTACGTTAAACCGTTCTCACCACCAATTTATCATTGTGTGTCGACGACCACGAATCCTTTTACTTGGGGAGAATTTTCATACTACAACAAAGAGTATGGCAAAAGTATACCTTCCGTCAAGGCTGTAAGTATTGCTAGTATACAGCTCATCATTGTTATTCTCTAGTCTATATTCTTCATCTTATTTTGTGTGGCCTTATTCAATACAAATGAAATAGTACCGCAAAAGTCTCTCTTTTCCTATCCAGCAACATTTCTTCATCTATCCATTTATACTTTGGTCTATCGCTGCTAAACATCGTCATTCCATGAATGTTATATATATATATAAAAACGACAGTGGCGTAAGTCACATTATCCTTAACTAAAGAAAAACAAGGTTTAATAAAAACTCTTGTATTTTGCCGTTATCTGGTGGTAGATATTATGAGTTATGACTTGCTTCTCTTTGACTTATTAATATATGCCGACAACACTCTACTCAACTTTTACGAAATTGTGATTTACTCTACTATGGTTCTAACCTCCTCTTACATATTTTCAGATCTGGCCAGTTATGCTGTTTTTGACGGCTTCCAAGTTCCAGTACAACCTACTATGTTTCTTGATCCACATAATTCCGGCTTTTATCGTTGACACTTTAGCAAGACTTACGGGTTATAAGCCCAGGTACGTACATTATAAAAAGTTGCACATTAAAAGTGGTAAACTTGTTATGAACTCCTAATGAGAAGTAAATTCAATTATATTTCCTAACAAATGAAATCTGGGCTTAATCTTTTAGATTGATGGACGCATATGGAAAACTTCACAAGTTCGTCGGCGTTATTGAATACTTTAGTCTACGGTCGTGGACGTTTTACGATTCCAACACAAAAGGACTGATCAAAGCGATGTCCGACCAAGACAAGATATTGTTTAATTTTGACATCTCCAAACTCGACTGGAAAGAATACTTCAAAAACCATGTGAGAGGCATTAGATTATATATACTAAAAGACCCTTTGGATACCATACCGGAAGGAGAGAAACACTATAGAAAGTAAGTTTTGCTCGATTAGCCGTCTTTTAAATTTTTGTACTGGTTTTAATACTTGGTGTGAATTTTTTCTAGGTTATACACGGTATACTATACTCTAGTAGCTTTGTTATGCGCTCTATTATTGCTACTAGTATACGGGTTGTTGAATTTGTTTCTATGACGAACCTTATAAAAATCCTGATGCTCTCAACGTGATATAAGTGATTATATTCTTTATGTGTAGTTTTATATATATATATATATTTAAAATACAAATATTAACTTATTTATTAGATTGTAAGTGATTACACATATAATTTTACATGACAAAACTAATAACTTACACCAATACAACTTTTAGAGCGAGAAGTATGATAATTGTATAGATATTTTCGCAATGTTATTATTATATTGTATTTACATATTATATAACAATTTTTTTTAAAAATATTTTTGTGAAAAAACATTATTATTATTTATATTGTATGAGAGGTAAGTAATTACCTATCAACAATATCTTGTTTCATTATATTAAGTTATAATTAAAAATAAAATGTATTTTCTATTATAACACGAATTGGTCAAACTCAAATATGTTTGGGAAATGAACGAAGTATATTAAGTGTTATCATTGTAAGTGCAATATAAAAATGTGATTAGAATTTGTATGCCTAATTGTAATTAAAATAAAACATAACATCGTTAATTATTGTGTAATATTCTTTAATGATTTCTCTCTGTAAAATATAAGCTACAGATAGCGCCTATTACTCCCTTGAATAGTTTATCCCAAACAGAAGTCTTTTATAATTTTCTTCAAATAATAATATTCTATAAAATAATACCTATCGCAGTCAGTTTAATAAAATGCATTATGTAACTTTATTTCATTGTACAACGTAATTGATTTCAGACTTTAATACTCTATTATAATGTATCATTCGGCCGTTCATCAATCGCCATAGCCAATACTAATAGAGTAGTACAAAATTAAATGCATGCTTTACATATACATTTGTATATTTGCTTATGAATTTAGTTATAGACACAATTTAGGTCCGGGGGTACGGAAGGGTATACTAAGCTCTTAACAATTTTTGCGTTTATTATCATAAGTAGTATGGGAGAGAAAAACTGTATAACATTGTCAGAGCTTAAACGCCCCTCCCCTTAATTTTAGGGAAATTGTACTTCTGATTTTAGTAGACAATTTGTTTGGCTACAATGTTCCAAAACGGATCTGCATTGGGCTTAACAATACAATATGGTTTCAACATATCAAGCGTTTCTTTGCCATAATTAAGAAGTCATCAGTTTGTTTTATTAAAAAAAAATATTATTTCTATAAGCAAATTTTAAATTATATCTTTTTTGTGACATGAGTTGGGTTTGAATTTGCAGTCATTAAAAGTACTCTTTAATATTATATGTATATCAGTCACATTATTTACTGCATTCAGATTGGATAAGGGTGAACTTCAAAATCTCATCATTTATAAAGTTCACTAATAATTATTTTAAATTTATGACGCACAAAGTGTAGTTATAATTCATCTGCCTTACATAACCAGTTTGATTGTTGTTTTACAATGTGATTTTTATAAGTAAACTTCAAGGTGAGTTTTTAAATAGAATCCATTACAAAAGAGTTATATTTTTAAAAATATATTATTACACATACCGAGTTGAATCGTCAACTGGTTTAAAACATAACATTTATGCGCCAGGATATTTTGTAGAGCTACAATGTATATATCAGGAGAAAAAATCTTGTTGAATTGATATGTAACATGATTTTTTGGTATCTGGCACACATATGTCCACAGAGTGGCCGGCATGTGACTAAAACCAGCATATTCTAAGGACACCACTGAATTAAGAATACAATTCTAACCAAAAAATCATGTTACATATCAACTCAACAAGTTTTTTATCTTGATTTCAAATCTGAATTTTTTTTTTGTAAGACCATTTTTTAATGAGATATAAGTTATATTTTAAAATTAAAATAAATGAATACCATTTATTGTACCCATAGAGCATCCTTAATGTCTCATTTGAAGATCGGTGGAACTTCACTTTACAGCCTGTATATATAATATATTAGTATTGAAATAATACTAGCTGCTTGTGTACCAGGCTCCGCCAGGGCTTAAATAGATCGATAATAAATCTCTTATCAGTTATCCAGGGATTATAGATTTTTTCTTGTTATTATCTTATCTCCACTTTAACCATCAGTTGTTAATAAAATATGTATATTTAGAATTTTGTTCCAAAAAAAAAAAAATCAAATATTGTTGTAAACGTATTTCACCATTATATAAATCAATATTTATTTGAACTTAATTGATTGCAATGTACATAAAATTGCCTTCTTTCATTTTAAACAACTCAAATTATACACAGTTGATATAATTTTTTGTCGTTGAATCTGGCCTATTCTGGCCTTGAAATGTCTTTAGCACATCAATTTGTTTTTTAAATCCAACATTTGAGTACAGTCAAAATTGCAAATATGAACAATAAAAATAATACGTAATAGGAAGTGAATTTTGGTACTTTTTTTCATTAATTGTTTATTTTTCAAGTTTACTTTAACGATTCTTAGCCATATCGATAAATTATTTGAGTATTTTGTTTTGCAATGTATTAAACCAGTTGTAAATTAAATCTTGGTTGAGAAACAACTTGGATTTTGTCCAGGATGCTCAGTAACCATGTGCAAACTCGTTTTTGTAATTTATGTATTTGACGTTTTCTCAAAGGGTAACCAAGTCGATGTCATATACACCGATCTCAAAAAAGCGTTTGACTAAGTGAACCATGCTGTATTACTGAATGTTTCAGAGAGTTGTGGGTTTGGCGAGCCTCTATTATCTTGGTGCATATCTTATTTAAATAATCGTAAACTATAGGTAAAAGTGTTTGGTATTAGATCTGAAGTTCTTAATACACCTTCTGGGGTTCCTCCGGGTAGACCCCAACTGTCCAATGCTGTTTACGTTAGTGAATTATAGCGTCAAGAGTGTTATTACTTATTAGTATATTCAACTATCTTTTACTCGCTGAAGTTTAAAGTTTTACAGGGAAATATATACAGTGAATGGCTGTCTGTGTATACAAACTTATTTAAATGCATTAGTTACTTGGTCTGAAAACCCTGGTTTAGAGTTTAATGTCACCAAATGTCATCTAATAACATTCTGTAGAAATCACGTGCCGCTGAAGTTTGATTACTCACTGAGTGGCTTTTCACTTATCCCCGTTGATAATACGGCCAAAGATCTTGATATAATTATGGACCGCAGGTTGAGTTTTCATACCCATAACGAAGCATCATGTTGTGAGAATCTAAGTACCGTTGGTTTTTGACATTTTCATGTCTTAGTTCTGGCACATAACCGAAAAAAGCGTTACCACATGGTGATGGGGTTGGGGGTGGAAGATAGGGGGTGAGAGAAAGGGGTAGGAGATTAGGGTAAGAGAATATGTTAGAGTAAGGAAGTAAATATACTGTTATGAACCCCTGAATTATTTAGTTTTAGTTAGAATAAGTATTCGCAGTAGTATTCAACAGTAATTGTAAAATCAGAGCATCAAATATTGTGTGTTAGACGCGGTCGGCCTAAAGAATGTGCTATTGTTTTATTTTATGGTTAAGCAAAACCGGAAGGCTAGCCGACCGCGACCCTAACACATCGGAGCATCGTTAGTCTTTTGACAACCGTACATGTGTATGAACTTGTGAAGTCGTACTATTTTTAATAAATTATTTTAAGATTAATAAAGGTACGTTTTTATTTTTTGTTACTCTCGTAACATTTTTGCACCAGTCTCCTCGAGCGTGGGATTCGAATCCCACGCCTGCCGAGCCAAAAATGTTACGAGAGTAACAAAAAATAAAAACGTACCTTTATTAATCTTAAAATAATTTATTAAAAATAGTACGACTTCACAAGTTCATACACATGTACGGTTGTCAAAAGACTAACGATGCTCTGATGTGTTAGGGTCGCGGTCGGCTAGCCTTCCGGTCTTGCTTAACCATAAAATAAAACAATAGCACATTCTTTAGGCCGACCGCGTCTAACACACAATATTTGATGCTCTGATTTTACAATTACTGCTGAATACTACTGCGAATACTTATTCTAACTAAAATAAATAATTCAGGGGTTCATAACAATACGAAAGTATATTTCGTAGTGAAATCAAGATGGTAGTTCCGCTATAAGTTCTATACTATGTGCTTGTTAGATCTACTTTGAATTTTGCTGCAGTTATATGGGACCCATTTACTACAAATAACAAGAGTCAGATCGAGAGAATCCAATCACCCTGTATACCATTATAAGTCAAGGCCTTGTTTGGGTCTTGGAGTTAGTTAAATTTTTTTTTTTCTTATGCATAAAATTAATAATTAAATTTATCTTAATTTACATACAGTTGAATTTAGGACAAAAGGTTAAACATGTGCAAATTTAAAGAAAATTTCATAGGGTAAAACCACCTCGGTGCAAATGCCTAATGTTAAAAAAAAATTACTTTAAGCTAATTAATATACTTTTGTGTACATTTTTTGAACGAAGTAGAGGACTAAAACTTTACTTAAAAAAGTAGTTTTTTCCTGGATCCAGACACACAAAAAAAAACACATCATTGTAAATGATACTGGCGCAGTGACCATCTCAGTTTTCACTCGGCATCCGAGGTGTTAAGCTGTGTCTCACACGTGTTTCATACCTACCAACTAAGAATAGCTGAAACAAAATTCCTTTTCATCTATACATCGAAGCTAAATTAATAAAATGTTAGATTTGTTGTATTATTGTTAAGTATTAATACTTTTTTCAGCAATGGTGAGAATCGATTTAGTTAAAGGTACTTGTAACACTAGTAAAAAAAATTCAAGTATGAGTTCATCGCTGTCCGAAGTCCAAACCTTTTATAGTGGTGCTTCGATTTTTCTTACGGGTGCAACTGGATTCGTGGGAAGGTTGATATTGGAAAAGCTAATAAGGTAAATTTTCGCGTTTGACACTAAACAACTATATATTTACTATTCAGTAATTATAATAATTGTATTAAATTAATTAATAAATTAACATATAATTTTGTATACCTCAAATTGTTTCATCTGTTTTTTTTACGATCTCTCCTCGAGAGAATTAAATGTGATTACATTTAATATTGCTTGTGATTTTACAATTAAATAAGACTTCTAAATATTTAGCTATTTTTTTAGAGCTTTAGGTACTAATATTTAAAACCTAAATAGTGTCTTATTTATTTCATTTACTTTTTAAACTATAAACAGACCACCAAAAAAAAGAATTATAATATTATAAAGAAAATTTATAACATTGTATGTATGTAATATCACTAATAAAAAGTGATACCAACAGGTAATAATATTAAATGCTATTAAAGTATTTGTATGCATGTTTTTTCCTTAATTGGTTCTCCAATAGTATATGTTATAGGGTTACACTAGACTTTCCTACAATATAATTGTCAGAACTTAAGTAACTGCACGTAAAAAGTGAAATAAATAAAAAGTTTCTTCTTGGATTTTGATTTTAAATATTTTGCTTCTACGGATTTTGCCAAACTATCATGGAATAAGATAAATGTTTTAATAACTGATTAAAACTCAATATTTTTTAATTGCCTATACCTATTAAGCTCTTTCTATGATTTTTATTTACAGAACATGTTCCAACATAAAAAAGATACACGTTTTGATCAGGGAGAAAAAAGGAAAAACCACAGAAGAACGGTTCAAAGATTTATTCAATGATTCGGTGAGTATATTTAAAATAAAGTGTATGATCGAAAAAATTCCTCATATGCATAAATATAAAATGGCAAAATTAATATTTTTAAATATAACAAATATTTGTTTATCTATAGTCCTTAAGTATTACTATATTCCGAAATGACGTATTATTATTATTAGTAATCGTGTTTTAGTTATTCGACCTGATGAAAAAAAAAACACCGGATTACCTTGATAAAGTGTCACCTATTATTGGCGATTGCATACAATCAAACTTGGGAATAAACGAACAGGACAGAGAAGTTATTAAAAACGAAGTAAACAAAATATTTTTATCGTAAACAAATCAGGTCAAAAAATGGTTTTGATGTTAAATTTTTAAAATCAAAAATACATTTAGGTAAACATAGTGATCCATTCAGCAGCAACTGTCCGCTTTGACGAGCACCTGAGAAAAGCTGTTAAAATCAACATAATATCTCTACAAGACCTTTTGAAACTCTCTCAAGAAATCAAGCACTTGAAAGTGAGTTTATGTGACTAAAATAATAATTATCGGCATTTATTCCAAATGGCTTTTTGGTTAAAATATATAAATGTATATATCTATATTATATATTGATCGGCTTACGCAGGCATTTATTCACATTTCCACCGCTTATTCCAACTGCGCTGGCAGGAAAACTGTGGACGAGGTCTTCTACGACTTGCCGTTTTCCGGAGATAACCTTATACAAGTTGTCAACAATCTCAGTGACGAATACATCAATAATGTCACGCCTTCGTAAGTGCCTTCATAATATTATACGATTATCATTTATCACACATAACTATAAAAGTATAGAAAAGAAAAAAGGATTCAAACTTGCCAATATAACTTAATAAGACTTCTATTAGAAATTAACTAGGATGACACGACAGCGGGAGAACACAGTTTATTTAAAAATGTTGATATTTTTGGTAAATAATAACAGGTTGTTCATCGTTAATTTGAAAACCTTAGACAAATGAAATGGTTCTCCTGCGAATACTACTGTAAAAACAAAAACGTAGCACCATTCTGTTTATTAACTATATTATAGACTGTAGTTCATTCATTTTAGGGTAGAACACGTAATCATAAATATACATACATTACCAGTATACCTATTGTCTATCTAAATCATATAATATACATTTAAAAACTGGCTTTCGTTAAGCGGGTGTCCAACTGAGTACCATGAGCGGCATGAATGGTCTTAAGCGACGGATACATCAACAATGTCACACCTACGTAAGTACTTATAAAATCTGATCATCATATTATTGTGTAAAAGCATAGTGAACACCGTTTTATTATACTAGTGCTTAAAATTTCCAAAAATGATTGAATTAATAAGAAAATAGGAATTTATACTATGGTATGAAAAACGGTAATGTGAACTTAAAAAACTAATTACATCGTGCGAGTATTCGATTAACTTAAAAAGGAACAAAAATTTACAAGGCTAAATTCATATTTTTTGTAAATATAAACAATATAAATTATAAAATTCTCGGCAAATTACAATACATTACAATGTACCCTAATGTCACTAAATCACAGTCAAGGGTTTAAGGGGACGTCGCACCTCAAAATAATAGCACAATGGTATGAAGTCTACAATGCACGCAGGAATATAAATAATTATAAATTGTTTGAAATGTGAGAAATTTAACTATGCTTTGTTGGAATTAGATTTGAAAAATTAGATTTTAATTTTAAGATATGAACATTTGAAAAATAAAAATATGCCCTTTCTTTATGCCATATTGTTCCATATCCAAACCAACAATCGAAAATTGGTTTCCAACAAAACATAGACAAAGTTTTCACCTACAATATTTATAGTTGGTTTTTTTACTCTTAAGCCACTCAGTAAGCCGTGTTTTTGGAATTAGAAAACTATGTTTAGATGAAAAAATATGTAAAACCCATGTCCCGATGCGGCCCGGGTTAGGAGAGGGACGTATGAGTTGCGGCCACATAATAATTACCACTTTATATTAGGCTATTTAGACACCACGGGGAGGTTGGCTGAGTTATCTCCCAAAAATGTGTTTTTTGGTAAAGTTAAGGTCAAGTTTCGTAATGTTATTTGCCGACGAGCGGTTCCGTCGTTGTCATTTTAGTTTTTTTTATATTATTGAGTTGACAAAAATTCATCTGTCCTAACTTTGACACTGTAATAACTTCAAAAGTAACGAGATCACATAATATAAAAAAAATGCGAAAATAAAATTTTTTAAATATAATCCAATAGGCTATAAGATATTGAGTGGATCTCTTTAAAAAAATCATCCTGTATAACTGAATTGGCGCTAAAAGTTTCAAGATAAAAAAGGTTGTACGAGCCGCAACTTATACGTCCATCGAAAACTGCCGGGCCGCAATTCACCTACAGCCGTCGAAGATGCTGCGATAGTCTGAAAAATAAATTTGCTGCCTTAAAAAGAATTCTTATTACTATTCTAATAATTACAAATTACAATTTAAGCTTTAAATTGAAATTTTCAAAAAATTGCCTATACCCAACTCCTTAATAAGAAGCGGTACGACGTCCCCTTAACGATTGGCAATAAATTCACACATTAATGTATTTTGCTGCCTACCGTGACGCCGTCCTATAACATGTAATGATAATGATCATGGGACTAGTAGGTAGTACGTTATATTATTATGACCTTCTATTTGTTTTAGGATTCTGTACAAGCAATTTTTAAAAATCATAAATATTTTAAGAAAAAATATAATGTGCGTATTTCATTACAAAAACAAAAAGAATAAAGAATAATATATCATTTATCATTATAAAATTAGTACCTCCTCATGACCGTGTATATTATTATACCGGGTGATTCTTTTAATGCTTTACATCTGTTTTCTCTTAAAACAATTGTTATTTTGTAGTTTTTATTTTTGAACAAATTATTGTTTATGTAATAATACAATATTCAATTTTTTTTTTTTTTTTTTAGTATTTTCTAGAGCATTATCGACTTTTTAAACTTAAACGGTAGCGTACATATTTAATTAAATTTTTTACATTAAGAATAATTTGCTAAAAATATTGACTGATCGATAACCAGTTTTAAATAAATAGTTTTAAAGTCATTAAAGGTTAAAATTTAAGATGGGAAGAAGGGTGGAGAGTAGAGTTATTTTTATCAGTGCGCATTTCTCAACCGCACTCCAGCCCCCACCCTAAATTTTAACTTAAATACCTTAAAAAATAATCAAAATCGGTTATCGACCAGTTAACATTTTCAGTAAATCATTCTTAATTTGAAAAATTTAATTAAAACAATTAAACAAGTTACCATTTAAGTTTCAAAAGTCGACAAGGCTCTAGCAAATGCTAAAAAAGATTACAATTTGAATATAGCCTAATATTGTACTATTACATAAATAAAATTTGTTTTAAAAAGAAACACTACGAAATTGCAATTTAAAGAGTGAACTAGTGAAGGATTTTCAAAGAATCACCCGGTATAATGTGTACATACCCTATGGAAGCCAAAGACATAAAACGATTTAGAATTATAAATTAAGTACACAAAAATATCAACAATATACGTCATGTTTCAGTTTAAAAAACAAATCATATAACCAATTTATCATAAATTTGACGTTAATCGTTAATGAAGACAATTTAGAATGTTGTAGAGATAGAAACAATAGTTGTACCTACTTATTGGCAAATAAGTTCGGGAAGTGCTGCAAACTCTTATCTGGTAAAGCAATACGGTACCAGTTGAAAACTGCAAGTACAATACATATTTTTATAAAATAACTCTTACTAACAACTAGTTACTAGCAAGTTATATTATCTTATACTATAAATACGTTAGTACTGATAAGTATACTGTGTCACAAAGCAACACACCCATTGGACAGTTCGCTTGATTTTGTTCTAAAGTAAAGCTGTGTCTTTCCTGACCCACTTTAAACCAATATTTTACTCACAAACTGTCAACGCGATCGTTTACTAGTATAAATTCAGCGATAATTTCCGAGTTCTAAAAAATGTTTTAGAATTTTGAACAAGTGGCCAAATACGTACGCAATGACCAAGGCTATCGCTGAAGGGGAGATTTTGCGTTATGGTAAAGGACTACCGATTGGAGTCGTTAGACCAGCTATGAGTAAGTTCGTCCTAAAGCAGTAATATTATGTACAACTGTTATTGTGTTTCTCTTTCATTCAGTCATAGCCACTGCCAACGAACCGGTACGCGGGTGGATAAACAACGTGTACGGGCCAACTGGAGTTGTAGCAGCCGTCGTTGTGGGTCTAATGAGAGTCATGTACGCTGACCCGAAGACCAATGCCGAACTTATACCGGGAGACTTTGTCAGCAATGCGATAATCGTCAGCGCATGGGATGTGCACAACAAATGGTTTGGACAAATACTAGTGCCTTAACTATTGACAAATTATTTTTAACCTGGGGTCGAATTTCATAATCATTTAAAATCAATCAATTTCATAATCATTTTTTATTTCATACCTATTTTATGAGAACTTTTAAAATTAAAGTTCTAAAAAAAGTTTTTTTTCGCAACTGCGTATGTATCTCATTTAACGCTCGACTAATCGGTTCCAGATGTTCGAGTAAATACTTTTTTGCACAAAAGTTCTCATGTAACAAACAATGTTTAATAAACTTTAAATTGTATCTAAAAACTTTTTAACCCTTTCGGTCCCAGATTATTTTTTTTTTCGAAAAAAAAATCGACGATTTTCTCCCATGTTTATTTTATTCTTAAATAAACAGGACCGAAAGGGTTAAATCATTTTTATGATTGAAATTATTATACAAAAGTTATTAAATATTTGTTCAAATGTAACTTCTTGAAATAGTCGTATATAACTGTTTCGAACCCTGATGTTAATATAATATTACTCAACGAGTCCTTGCCAGTGGCATACCTGTAGGTCCATTCAAGAGAGATAAGGTGGAAGTATTCAAAACGTAATTATATTGTAAGATGATTTGTTTTATACTTTTTAACAGTAGTTACAATGCTAAATCGTTAAAACGTTATTTATACAATAGTAAATCAAATACAATTTGAACTTCTAATAATATTTCTATACTACCCTTATATTCAAACTAATCTTATTATTTATTGACGTATTTAGACAATTCATGTATATTTTTTGATATTTGCGCGATATCTTGGTTTAAAGGCTGAGCAAGTAACTAAAATTCACATAAGCCACACTTGTTTTGACGGTAAATAAAATAAGATAACGTCTACTAATTCTAAAGTTATTATTTAAAATGTTTAATTAAATTTTATAATTATTAAAATAGAGATAATTAACAATCAGAACTAAATTGAAATTATATTTTTTCAATATGTTTGAAATATTCTAATGCAAGTATAAAATAGTATATTTTCAAATCTTATATAATTAAAAAATCGTTATTGAAGAAAATATAGCTTGTATCATAATTAACACATTTAACTAATTAGTATACTCATATAACGTGGTAAAAAAATTATTTTATTTGGCATCACAAAAACAAATCCAAGAAATGTATAAAAAAAAATTAGATTGCTGACTATTATACTATATTTTATAAGATATCATTATAATTGTCGTCAGGAAATCTTACACTAAAGAAAACTCATTGGAAGCTGAAAGTGCAACCGTTAGAGCGTTCTCACCGCCCATTTACCATTGTGTGTCGACAAATGCAAACCCGTTAACTTGGAGTGAATTTTCATACTACAATAAAAAGCACGGAGCACGCCTACCTTCTATTCAGTCAGTGAGTATATTTTACAGGACAGTACATTTTTAACACGTTGACTGCCACGAGGGTCATTTTTGCCCCTCAGTAGAATTTTCAAGCGGGCCACGAGGGGTCTAATAATAGAAATAAGTTTAAAGTTGTAAAAAAATATTGTGGCAGTCAACGTGTTAAATATTATATTATATTATATTATATTATATTAGGTAACTAGATTAACATTCAATAGGTTATTTACTTTATGAATATTTAATTTTTTTTTTTTTTTTGAATTATATAATCAGTTTTTTTAAACCGTCCATAAGTATTGACAAAATAAACAAAATGTGTTTTGAATTTGGAGTTTCGCCTAATTGTGAAATTAACATAACATAATTATTTATACCATGCCAATACTATCATTGCCAATATAAACCTTCATTAGGCCAAAGCAATTTTACACATTAACAATATATATAATAAATATCACAACGCAATAGAGTCACAACGCAATATATTAATAAATCTATTAAATAATCTATTAACAATTTGGATAATCAGTCTAACGTAATTAGTCTTAATGAAACTTTTTGCTAATTTTAGTTTAGGTTTTACGGTTTTGCAGTGCTTTTAAAGTGTTTTATTTTTAACACTTGAACTTTTAAATAACTCGGTCACAGTAATTTTCTTTTTAAGAAAGGCTGATCTCTCTGCAACAGCCAAGTCATTTATAGAAACTAACATTCCGGATTAATTTTAATTTTTAATTATTATACGAACTTAGCATTCTTACATTAATACTAAAAAAATTGTTTTTTTTAAACAATGAATTACTTTAAGTATCGATGACACTTAAATCTAATCTTATTCTAGAGTAACCAAATCTTACCAAGTTTAGATTCTTAAAATTGTTAAAATTGTTCGAATAACTATTATCGGCCATCTTTATATTTTGGTTCTACCCCAATATACCATGTATAAAATACTTTATATACTAATATGTAACCTGTGCTGTTGAAGTCTTATTACAATTAAAAAATGTATTATATGTATGTTTACATAGTGATGCCTTATTTCGCAGGCATATAATACCAATTATAGTATTAATTATTATTGAGTTTAAACCATTTGTCTGATTTGTTAATTAATTACAAAATATAATAGTTGAGAAAGACGATACGTGTTTAATAATTCTACAATATACTTGTTATTATTAATTTTGTTGTACCTACGCATTGTTGAATTTAAAATTTCTGTTTACCCCTTTATTATAATTTGTATGTTACTCATTAATTAAAACTAATTTATTATAATATTATTTTATACACCGTTTTCAGATCTGTATACCTATGTTGACATTAACAACCTCCATGTTCAAGTTCAAAATAATTATCTACTTGGTCCACATCCTTCCGGCAATGATAATCGATCGGTTGGCGACTCTCGTAGGGAAAGTGCCCAGGTAATAAACCATACAAATATGTACAAACACGGTTTCAAAATGTGCCTTAGCCTTACTTTTATTTGAACATTTTGATTACAATATATATTTATTTAATGCTGGATTGAGTACAAGTCCGCATTCGAGAAGTTCACACCTTTCTCTAGATGCCAGAAAATCCAATAAAAAACAGGCATATTTTTAAGATTGGGCAAATTGTTTAACTTTGAATGAGAAACTATTAGCATTATTAGGAATTTGTCCGTTAGGAAAAACTTGGTTTACCCGATGTACTACAAATATATATGTGTTTGTCTTTTAGTTTTGTTTACAAAGTTTAAATTTACTTTAAGCTTTATATTTCATTTCATACAAAAAATAATAATATTATAAAAAAAAAATCTTAAATATGGAATATAAGAGTAGGTAAATATTTTATAATAGTATCGTCAATTTTGTATAAAATGATTTTTGTCAATATTTTATTTTTTTATAAGTTAAGTAAAATATTTAATTTATTGTAAACAATTTCGTAAAGAAATGACTATAATGCAATTTTTAATTGAGTTATACGTTATTTTTTTTTAATTTATATTTAAGTATATTGAATTATTGTAACAAATAGAAGAACGAACTTTAGAAATCATGAATTCCACAACACGAAACTTTATTTACAATTTTTTTGGCAGTATTTAATTTTTGTTTTTCTTATTTAGACTTGTGAAAGAGTACGACAAACTGCACAAGTTCATCGACGTTGTCTCGTACTTTAGTGTGCGGTCGTGGACGTTTAACGATACAAACTTAAAAGGTATGATGAAAGCGATGTCAGATCAAGACAAGGCATTGTTTGACTTTGACATCTCCAAACTTGACTGGGACGATTACTTAAAGCATCAAATGATCGGCATCAAACTCTATATATTTAAGGAGCCAATTGAAACCGTACCGGAGGGGTTGAAACACAATAGAAAGTTAGTGCAAAATCGTATGAAAAGGATAGCTAAATAAATGTTTTTTTTTTTAAATAATTTATTTTGATTAATTTCAGGTTAAAAGTGTTCTTCTACATGCTACTTGCTTTCCTTGGGTGTCTACTGCTATTAATAGTATACGGTATAAAACTGTTGCTATGATCATTCGAATATTGAATAATCCACCAGTTCTAAGCCGGTGATCCGTTTTACATGAAAAACATGTTGTTAAATTTTTAACTTTTAAATGTCGTTATTTTATTTTTGGGGTTTATTCGAATTGGAATTATATTTTTAAATCATTAATAAATAATAGGGTACCGTTGGTTAATACTAAAAGCGACGATCCAAATCGTTATTGCCATAATAATATATGTTATTTAATAACAATGTATTTATGTTGTTTTTAATTAATTATACTCTTTCCGGTACACCTTCAATGATCAAAATGGATTTTATAAATATTATTCAAACGTTAACGAAGGTTTACAAAATGAAAAAAATGTGCACAAAACGTGTTGGTTAGGTTTGTTATTGCTGTAGCTATTTCACTTTTATAGGTAACATTAAATATTAAATACTTAAATGTTACATTGTATAGGCATATTGTATACGTATGGGATCATATTTCTTTGAAAGACTTCGATGCGCAGTGTGCAGTGCTATAATTTTCGGTAACAAATACATCTGCTTGTTCTAATTTTATTTCGTAAACATTCGATTTCAATTAACACGACTTTGAAGAATTTTAGATGTAGTTTAAAAGTAGTATAATAAAAACTAGATTTAATTTTTCAAGAAAATGTTTTTTAGAATTTGACTGATTAACAGAATAACAATATTGTCTTAACATGATGTTTAATACTTTTATTTACCTTTAAGTTCGCAATAAATTGTCGTTTTTCCTGTTATTTTATTACTTTGTCACTAAGACAGATTATAATTTATACAGAAGCTTGATTATTGCGAATCCTTTTTGATCTATCCCTACCCCAGTGAGCTACACTTTGATTGTATAGTAATTTTCATACAATATCACAGATAAAGCCGGTTTTAAAGTCCACAGTCGCACCTACATCTACTTGATCGTCCATATTGTAGCGCGATCCTACATCCGTACCAATTCGATCAAGTCAGCCAGACAGTAAACACATGAGGAATGCGCAGTCCTGGGCAGTATAAAACTGGTTATTTTTCTACAGTTATTTACTAAGTGCTTCTGAGTTTTTGTCTTTGTCCATCGAGAGTATCTTCAAAAACTATCTAAGGTAATCGCAGTTCTTTAATTTTATCGCGTATCTAAAATAAACAATTGATCGTTGTACAAGGTGGCGTTGCGAGGCTGAGACCATTGGTCGAGAATCTATGGTCTTGAGTAAAGCACAAATCCCGAGGAACCTTCGATTTTTTTATTGTATTGAGAAAAAAAAAAATGTTGGGCCTACAATAAAACCTACACAAATTATTATAGATGAGCTTGAACTAAATCCCCGATGATTTTTAAACAGTATTAAAATATATTCATGGGTCAAACGTCTAATATGAACGAAGGTTTGGAGCGACCCCCCGCGGATTTTTTTTGAAAATTACACTGCATGTCTGTTACAATGAAAATAATGTTCTCAAATTTGTAATAGAAATTTTTTTAAAAATTTTTTTTGGCCATGGTCGCAAAAAGTATTTTTAGTTTTATTCTTGACATATCTTTTTGATCATCTTTTTAGTTTCTTCGGCCATCAAAAGAAATTATTAATAATAAATTTCTCATGTAAAATTATCTTAGCTTTCTGAAAAAAAAAGATTGATTTATTAATTCTTAATAAACTATGTAAACTTAAATAACTATAAATACTAATCATTTTTTTTTTTTGGCCGAAGAAACAAAAGATGATAAAAAAGAAGTGTCGAAAAAAAACTTAAAATACTTACGATCATCGCCAAAAAAATTTGAGAACATTTTTTTCCTCGTAACATATATGCAGTATAATTTTCAAAAAAATCCGTGGGTGGGTCGCTCCAAACGGTCGTTCGTATTTGGCGTTTTTATTATTATTACTATAATGATTAGTTAGTTTTGTTGCTTTCCCATTGACGAGAAAAATATATATATATATTAGGGGGACAGTAAAATAATTATAATTTTTTAATGACTGGTTTATTTATTATAACTATTTTGACTTTTCGTCTTTTTAACAAATTAACTAAAACGTATAGTGTTACGATTAGATAACATTACAAGTATGTTCATAATTTGTGTTATGGTTTTAGAATCCCTTACAAATTCATCATGCTACGCCTATGACTAAAATGTATAATTCCGCATCAGTTTAATGTTAAAAAATGGTACTCGCTCAAAAATACAAAAACTAGTATTGGTGTCTATATTTGTTGTGTATAATATATTTGTTTATTTTCAATACATTGTTTTAAATAACTTCTTCGCTATAAATGCAAATTACAATATAGAAACACTTAATTTAATATTATCATTATTATAGTTACTGTTGAACAGGTTTGTTTTTAATGGTTATTAACCGAGGATTATTATGGTATTTAATATTTATAAATAGGTTTACGTCATACAAACGTTTCCCACAAAAAAACACGTATCAGATGACCACTAGGAATTAAATTTAAAATGTTGTAATATCCGGAAAGCCTATGACTTTTTTTTTCTGAAGGCACTTCCTAATTTGGGTGAAAAATAATATGTTGTTTTTAAAGTTATTGTTTTAAAATAAATACAGTTAAAAATCAATTTTAGGAAATCGAAAAAACATGACCTTGAACCGGCCAATGGCACAATAAGGAGTTTCAATGACTGAGAATAAATAATTCTGTAAACTATACCGACTATTGTTTCTGTTGATTAAATGAATACAAAATAGCGTTTAATTATTTTTAACATATTTCGTATAGACTGTTAAAAATTTCGGGTAAGTTATTAATTTCAAACCTGGATGAACGGTTTATTTGTTATTTATACCATAAATACCATAAATAATTATTTACATAAAAAAGCTGTAGTAATAAAAAAAACCAGTACAGTAAGGTCGGGGCATAGTGGGGACGGATTATATTGGGGTGGGTGTGTGGTCACAGGTCTATATAAAATATTACAACTAAAAGTGATAAAATCACTAAATCCAAAGGATATCCCTCTCAAGTTTGAGAGTAATTTGATAATTTGTTTTAAAAGTTATAGCGTGCCATAATTTTAAGTAAATTAATATGTAAATGTTTGGGGTGTTATTCTTAATTTCGAAAAAGGAGGCGTGAACTTTTTTAATTGTTAGCCAACGTACCTTTTGTGTACTATAGGTGGGTTGGATTCAATAAATTATCATATTTAAAATATATCTGTGCACAAATCTAACCAGAAATAATATAACTCTGAGGACACTAATAATCAAAGACGAATAAAAAAGATCAGAAGAAGCTAGTATAGTGTTGAATATATTTGAACAAATTAAAGGTCATTTAAAATTCACTACACGACATCTACACTTCTAATTTAAATAAACGATTTTATTACATCTAAATTCTACACACAATTAATTAGAATTATGAACTCCAAATAAATTATTTATTTATGTTAATATATATATAGTTAATTGGTGGGAACCGATTACAAAGTATTTATTAAAAGCTACATTTGTATGCAATAAAAAACATGGTAATGGAGATTTTTTTTTATAAGCTTTTGAGTAGTTTTAGAATAAAAACTCCTATTATTAAACCTAAAAAACTTAAATTTCTGAGTGCTGTAAGTTAGCAATTTTCCAAAATTGCAAATAAAAATAGAAGAAAGAGATACAACCATTTATTAAAATGTATTAAAAAAAAAACAACGAGTTGCTTTGCGACACCTGACATACTACTCAGTGTTTAAACATATACAAATAAATGCAAACATAATTTTAAATTTAAACACTCGGTATCAAATAAAATACAATCATATAGAAAATAAAAAACAATAATAGATAAATCAAAGATAATAATAATGACAATATAAAGAATGTAAATAATAATGGAGGATACTAAATGCACCCTTTATTTTCAAAGATAAATTTCAAGTGAACCGTGTTTTGGAAGACTCTGGTTTTTAAAAATTCTATCAAGAAGGGCAAAGCTATTCCACGGAACCCCATCCATAAAGCATAGACATCATATGTATCAATCCTGTATTTTCGTTTTAAGAAATAAAAATCTTATTGCTAGAAGCATTGATTTTAGAATATACAGATTAACGGCGCGCTATACACAAAAACCGCAACAGATTTTATGAGGGATTCCCGCTGGCAACCGTGGTGCTCTAGTCATAGCTTATAGACGGGTGGATGGTAATCTATGGGTACCTCCGTTACGAGTGGGAATCCCACATAAAAACGTTCGCAGTTTTTGTGTATAGCACCGCTTATCTGCATATTCACAACGTTTTTCTTCGTTAGTAGCCGCATCTTGGCTTACTTCATTTGTTCCCCACCATATGGCAGGATCGAGAACAAGTCCTTCGCACCAGCGTCGATCAATAATTATAATATCGATCCTCCTGTCCTTAACCCAGAGTTAATGTCCTCAACTTCACAATGAACTTCTTCAAATACTTCCATTCATTTTTCCTGGATTTTAATTACAATAAATTTAATTTATTCGTGAGCGGAATTTTAATTAAAATTGAAAGAATTACAGTCCACCTGCGATGGGTTCAAGGTCCCGTACTCACTGAAAATAAAATGTTTCATTTAAAAGTACTAAGAATATGGCCAGAGTACCGTTATGTTGTTAGTTAATTATTCAATTAAATATTGACAAATTAAATTATACTTAAAGGGCATTTTTTATATTGTACATCCGTTAGCAGTTGTACACACGTGCAGTTGTACACACGTGCAGTGTGTAATATGTATTGTCTAATAATACAACTATAATATTTTCTATTGTTTTTATAACTAATAATTTGTGCGCACACCACAGTTGCCTCCTAAAAACAACGAACTGCCTCCCTTGCTTATCGCATAAAGTGTGTCTATTGTGTGGGTATCCCGATATCAATGTTATTATAGATTAAAGTAGTCTGTAGTGTCTAAAATGCGGTAATTGCGTGGTGTTTAATTTTAATTTAATTTGTGTAAAATAGAAGTAACTAAAGAAATGACAAGCAAAAAAGGTAAAACCCTGAAAATTTTAAATGGTTTTAAATTTATTTTCAAAAAATGATACATACAAAATTATACTATCGGTTACCTATTGCACATGCAAAGTAAAATACACACTATAATTGGTTATTCTAAAATAGTATGCAATTTGGTAGTATGCAGATTGCAAGTATTTATGTGAAATTATCAAAAATAAGTACAGTTTCGTTGTACTGTGTACCTGGTTTAAAAGGGATCATTGGGAGGCAACTCGAATGAAAAATATTGAATACCTGGCACGGGAGGCAACTAGTAGTTTATGACCCAAAATATTACGACAAGAAATAAAGGTTACCGGAGTGAACTCAGATATTTTTGAGAGGCAACTAGTGTGTGCCCAATAATTTAATAGTTATTACACGTATAAATTAAATTAACAACATATTAATTAAGCTACTAAAGTTGTTTAACCTATACCTCAATAAAGTACTTTAACTTATGTACGTATCGAATAATTATAAATGTCATAAATTAATAAAAAAAACTAAGTAACCAGCACATTATTTTTTTAAAACCGCAATTAAATTATGCTTTTCAGGTTTTATTGGTATAACATATCAAAGCCACTTGAATTAATCTAAATCTGTAAAAAAAAAAATTAAAAAACTATTGTTAGGGATGTTTGATAATCAATAGCTACCAAATAATTAGTAATAATATGAATTATGAGCACATTTTACAGATAATGTACAATTTTTCAGCAATGGGAACTATTGCTGATACGAGTATGGAAAATTTAAATTTTTGTCGACAAAATACAAATGTTAACATGTCCGAAATACAATCGTTTTATAATGGATCAACAGTTTTTCTGACGGGAGCGACTGGTTTCGTGGGCGGTTTAATACTCGAAAAGCTATTAAGGTAAGCTATTAAGTATTATTTAATCAACGATTCTACATTTTTATTCTTTATGTAATGTATCTTTTTGGTAATTAAATCGAGTAGTATCATTAAAAAAAAATCCTAAATCGTTTGAATCAAAGTAGCTGGTAAAAATTTTCTTTTAATGACCTTCTATTAGATAAAGTGGAAATTCTGGTTTATTTGTTTTAGGTAACGTTAATAATATGCGAAGGGCTGCGGGAAAAATAGATTAATGTCAATTTTTTTTGAAAATGAGATTTTGGTATTTGGTAATTGGTATTTATTAGTATTGATGTATTGTATCTTTTATGCGCTCGAACCAGGAAAAAAAATAAATTAGTCGAGAGTAACGATCGCCGGAAGTTTAGGTATACAGGCAAAATGTATTACGGTTTGAAATTAAAAACATGATTTTCTCAGAATGTTAAAAAATTGATATTGATCTTTTTTCCCCGTAGCTCTTCGTGTAAATACACAATTTGTATATGCGTAGATTTTTGCTAGTCTATTTCATTAATTCGTCAAGAAACATCATCACAGGATGACAGCATTGGCCCTTAAAGGCTTGAAAGCTATATGATGGATAGATGGAATTAATTAATTAGAAAATCCTCATAATTTCACGATAGTTTAATATTTTAATTTTAAATATGACTAATATAACAAACAAAAAAACTATAGCGCAAGCTATGGAAATAAATCTAAGCACAAAACAATATTATTAAATTACACAAACTGATTTATTTGTAGAACATGTTCCGGCTTAAAAATTATATACGTTTTAATCAGGGACAAAAAAGGAGAAACGTCAGAAACCCGATTTAAAGATCTATTCAATAATCCAGTGAGTACACATATATTAAATAATAAATGTACAGAAAAAGTGCAACTTATCTAGTAGTTAGAGACTTCGAGCCATGCGTACCTTATCTTCTAAATGACACTTTAAATAATTAGTTATATAAAAGGTATAACTAAAAGGTTTGGGTTTTAGGTTTTATACGTTTTATATTGGACGTCTTTTCTGAATATTTCTTCATAAAATTACTATTATCAATTTTTAAAATTTTTTGGTTTAAAAATCTATAAAATTAAGGGTTTGTTTGTATAATATTAGAATAATCCCTTTTAATCTATAAAACATTCACCAACATAATGCCTCAAAAATATCATACTCAATGAAATTTCAGAATTTCACTACTTAATTTTTTAACATTTTCTGTTCTCTTCTTAAATATATCACTGTACCGAAAAACGATTTCTAACAACCTAAGACAATACCGTTTTAAAAAATTCTGTGTGGCTAAGTTTATTTTAAAAATCGAGTCATGTTTTAAAATAATTTAAACCTATTTTAAAATAATCAGTTAAAATCACTTATAACTATTTTGAGTTCTATTTTTTAGCTGTTTGACCTTATGAAAAAAGAAACACCGGATTACATAGATAAAGTGTCAGTTATTATTGGTGACTGTGAACAGCCAAACTTGGGAATGAAAGAACACGACAGAGAAATTCTTAAAAGCGAAGTAAATCAAATATTTTTTTTGTAAAAAAAAGCACATCAATGTGTTATTTAATTTTTTTTTTATTATTCTTTAGGTAAATATAATAATTCATTCGGCAGCAACCGTTCGGTTTGATGAGCACCTAAGAAAAGCGATCAGAATTAATATAATAGCACTACAAGACCTTCTTAAAATCTCACAAGAAATCAAACAATTAAAAGTGAGTTATCAATGAATATAATAATAGTCATCTGCAATTATGACAAATGGATTTGATTATATTATTTTTCGATTTACATAGGCTTTTGTTCACATTTCGACTGCTTATTCCAATTGTGCCGACAGAAAAATTGTAGAAGAAAAATTTTATGAGCTACCGATTTTCGGACATAACCTCATACAAGTTGTCAATTCTCTCAGTGACGAATACGTAACCAGTGTTACACCTTCGTAAGTCAATAACATAGCAAATAACGTAGCATATTGAGATCGGGGAGTCACAGGTTTTCAGAAATGATTATAATTGGTGATAATAAAATCACTACAAAAAAAACTTCGATAGTAATCTGTAGATGGTAGGAATATTAAATATCGATAGAGCATTGTGCACTTTTCTGATATTTCCTTAAAAAAAAAAAGTATAACTACAAATTTTTGAGAAAAATGTTAGAGTTGTGTTAATAGTTATACATAGTACAATAGTGTACCCCACTCAAGTTTAAATAATTTGACCATTTTTGAAAAAGGTAATACTTAATGTCTTATATTATTCTACTATACAAACCGTTTTGTTAACATATTCACAAGAATCATAATTGATGACGTCAAGTTTTGGATTTTTTTAAATTTTTTACTTGGGTTTTATGCTTAATAATATGCTATTTATCTGGTCACACACTTCTTCGGTCTATTTTTAAATCCTTCTAAACTGTTTTACTATTTTGTTTCAATCAGACCTCTCGTCGTTTAACATATCAAAACCATCTCGATCTACCACCTCTTTTGTTATTGGTGCATTCCTCAAGCTTCATATTTCTTATTTTATACCTACTCACATTTATAATACTATCTAACCTAACTCCTCATTCATTTTAGAATTTTCTAATTATGGCTAATTTCATATACTATTTGTGTCTATGCTAGTATACAAAGTATCGAATGCATATGTTAATGGAACAAGTAGACCAGATTTCAAGTGAAAATAACTGGTACAAAAAAAAACAATTGTTTAATACCGGATAAAGATGAAACTTGTTACTGTAATAATTAAAATGACAGTTATTTCATGAACTTGTGATATTTTAATAATAATATGTAACCAATTAGTAGAAAAAAATAAAACTATTATAACTAGTTTTCTATGTTTTAATACTACTTTAATGTCAATAATTGCATATAGGTAATACATGAAAACATTATTTCAGGAAACAAGGTTATACGTATTTTCATATTAGTAACTATTATAGAACATACATTATGAATTAAAATCATATTGTATGTCTTATCCTGCTTACATTTTAATTAAACAATAAATATCGAACAGGTAAAACGGCTTTACATTACTTATTTACAATACTTTGTGAGAAGGTTATTATTATGTTTTTCAATATATTTATATAGACTATTAGTGTTTGTCAAATATTTATTGAAACATATAAATTAATGGATATGATAATTATAAATTTATCTTTAATCTTTCTGATTTATAGATTTGTAGAAATTATTTTTTTAACTTCAACGCGGAACTAAAAAAGTTTAGTTGCAAACTATGTTAAAGCAGTTAAAAAGGGGTTTTATATAATAACAATTTTTAAGTCGTTTAACCTGCTCGATATTTTATGTTCAACTGTAAAGTATAAGCGGGGTTTTTCTTTAGATGCACAATTAAAATGATATAATTGTAAATTATGTGTATGATAATTTATTATATTTCACTATAGATAATATCGGACAAATACACAAGGTGAACACTAACAGTAATATAAATTCATTTTTTTTAAATTAATTTATTAAACCTCTAAATAATGTTAAATTTAGCATCACAGTTTTGTGATCATTCACCATAATTATTTTCAGGTGATCTTCTATTAAACTCGTTTTTCTAATTTAAGCATATTCATTTAATACTTGCAGATGGGTAGTTTTTTTTTGTTAAATTATATATTAGGCACCTATGATCTACCTATTTGGATGATTTTATAATTAGCCAACATTACCAATCCATTTAAATAGTCCTATTAATTAATGAATATATATAAACAACTCTATTTAAAAAAAAAAAATATATATATATATATATATAAAGTCAGCTGCACATAGTTTGTGTTGCCGGTCGTCACAGCATGCAATCAATCGCGTTATTGACATAAACACATACAATTAAGTATTTCATTTAAAATTTTAAAACATAATAAATTATTGTTTAACTATAGAACTCTAAAGTCGAAGAAAAAAAAATTCGAGAAATGAAAAATTTTAGTTATTACAATGGAGATATAAATGTAGTGTGTGGGTGACTAGTTTTTTTGAACATACTTATAAATAAACAAACAATTGAAAAATATATATAATTTGTTTTTTTTAACATACTCCAGATGTAGTATTTCTTAAGTATGTTTTAAAATTTATTTTAAAGATAAAGCGGCTACGCTTAATAGGGGGGGGGCTAGGGTGGCTAAGGTATATAAATTACAAATTGCTTAAATAAAAGTGTTAACGATTTGCATTGTATATTTTTTTCAGGCTGCTAAACAAATATCCCAATACTTACGTGATGACTAAGGCTATCGCTGAAGGAGAAATTTTGAAATATGGCAAAGGACTGCCGGTTGGAGTGGTTAGACCTTCTATGAGTAAGTTTTTCCTTGATGATACCTGTGTAGTTAGACCAACGACATGTATGTAATCGAGTGTTGGGTAAAGTCAACGTAAACGAAAGGAAAATAAAATTCGATTAATGCAGAATGATTCAGATTAAACAGATTTAGGACTGAGTATGGGAAATAAATGTTGAGAGTGGCGGCAACAGCAGTCTAAATAAGTGAGAATAGATTGAGATGGTTTTGACGTGTTGAAAGGATGGGGACAAACGAAATAGTTACTGATAATTAGAGATAGTAAGGATTTAGAGGTAGAGATAAACTAAAGAAGACGTGAGTGAATGTTTTAAATAAAGCAAATATGATGTGTGAAGTGAATAGTAAAGTGATGATAGGTTTGCATCGGATAAAATGAATGAGACGAATAACAGATAGTTATTTTCATACTTTCCGGTTTGCTTACAGTTATAGCTACTGCTAACGAACCTGTACGTGGGTGGATCAACAACGTTTACGGACCAACCGGGGTCGTTGCCGCCGTTTATATGGGTCTTATGAGAATTATGTGTGCCGATCCAAAAAAGTACGCCGACCTCATACCCGGAGACTTTGTTAGTAACGCAGTAATAGTCAGCGCTAAAGATATACACAGCCAATGGTGAGGACAATTAATAATTTATCAATCTAATTTATTAGGGATAATTGTATCAATTAATACTTTTTGCTCATCTCTGCTGAGACTTGGCGGAGAAAGTGTCTCAACTATAGCCAAAAAATTGATAATTTCATGTTATACATGCGCCATTGAAAAAAAATGTTTGATTTGTTTCGCGCTACCAAATAAAATAAAAAAATATATTTGGCGCTACGATTATTTTTAACATATTATTCAATCGTAGTCAAATTATGTACATTTATTATTCAATACTTCCGCCCGTTACTATCTTGTCTCTATAAATTAATTTCTGTCTTCTTGAAAGTTTTCACAGCCATTTTTAAGTTAGAGTTTTGTGCATTTTATTTTAATTTCATCATTAATGTTCATCATTTTTAATCTATTAGTACGGTTTTTGTTGGATAGGAAATCACATAATATGTCTGAGAGCTCTTCGAATACCCTAAGCACGAACGGTGGAACATTCTCGCCACCAATTTACAATTGCGTTTCGACAAACACGAACCCGTGTACTTGGAAAAAATTCGCCGAGTTCAACAAAAAACATTTATTCAGCGTGCCTTCCACAAAGACTGTGAGTATAAAAGTCGCGATTTGGCTGACTAATAAGATTGTTAATAGATTCGTGTCAGTTGAAAACTAAAAACTCTACAATTTATGGTCTCCTTACAACAACTGTATAATATTTCAGATTTTTCCGATTATGATCATACTAACGGCGTCCAAGTTCCATTACAACGTAATACAATTTTTGGTGCACATTGTTCCGGCGTTCATTATCGACTCGTTGGCCCAACTGACCGGCAAAAAGCCCAAGTACGTACGAACACAAGGGATGTACCGACTAATGTTAAAATTATAATATTAACACAGTATCTGTTTATCTTCTACTAAACATTCAGATTGATGGACACCTACAAGAAGATCAATAATTTCGTAAACGTCATCTCGTACTTTAGCTTGAGATCATGGACTTTTAAAGATACGAATACAACAACAATGATCGCACAAATGTCCGACCAGGATAGGAAACTGTTCGACTTCGACATCTCCAAGCTGGTCTGGGACGATTACTTCGAGCACCAAGTAATCGGTATCAGACGTTACATAATCAACGACCCAATGGATACCGCGCCAAAAGGGTTGAAACACTACAAAAAGTCAGTTAATAGTTTCACCTAATTCTACGACAATCAATAAACAGCTTACAATTTATTTTATGTTTTTTTTTTCCAGACTGCAAAATATTTACTACACGCTACTCGCTTGTGTCGTGGCTTTCCTATTGTTGATTGGGTACGGATTGTTCGCTCTCTTTTTATGACACGGTTTTTAAAACACAGTTGCTCTAAACAATGTGATATTACATGTATATATATAAACTACTTATATTATTGAAATTACTCATTTTTTTAATAAATCTGTTATTATTATTATGTTGCGCATATAAATATAATATTTAATCCTTTTAATACGTCATTTCATCGGCTACAGGTTTAGAAGTAATAAAAATAAAAAAACACTAAAATTTGAGTTTGTGAATATGTTGGAAAATATTTTACTTTTATTACCATCATAAATGATTCCCTTTTAAAAATTGGTTTTCTCGAAGATTGGCACCTTAAAGCGTTTTATGAGATTATGTTAAAACCTTTTTAGTTGAAACCAGTGTTAACTTTACATTTATAAAAAAGTGTAAATTTAAAATAAAAAACATAGTATTGTGATAGTTTATAGATTATACCTATTAAATATTGAAATAATTATATATTTTCATTATGGGAAAACTGTGTTAACATGATTACCATTAATTAACATAAACCTATCTTATTTGCAATCAAACAGATCAAAAAATCTTGAAATACCAGCAGCAATAAAAACATGTGGTATTATTTTAACCAAACAATTTAAAGCTTGTACAGCAAGTTATTTTTCAGGTTCTTTGCCGTTCCCACTCACTTTATTGGGTGATGATATTGTTAGGTATTATTTTATTTTCCCAAATTTTTTCAATATTTTTTAACAAAACCTTTTGGGATTTCCAACTATGTAATGTTTATCAACTGTACCTAATTTACATATTTGTTTGATTCTAACATGCAATCAATATAGAAACCTTACAACTAGTTTCTGCAGCGTGATAAATATTCGTATCTATAGCTGTTTTAGACCATTCACACTTAGTCACACTGTGACTCAGATAATAATTGTACGTCAGTCATACTTCATATAAGTGTGACCAAAAATCAGGCGACTAATGGAGGGTTATAAGGTAATAGTAACTTGGAATATAGTGTGTACGTTTTTGGTGTTTGGCCAGGTTAGGGTCGAAATAGAAGATGACATCTCGTTTCGATTTGTGCGTTTCGTGGCGCTATCACCAAATATCAACGTCAGAGTAAATCAATTATTTTTTACCCTAACCGGGAGGTGTGGCGCAGTGGACATCTCAGGTGCCGCATGGCACTCGAGGTTAACCTGTGTCCGTTGCTGCTTGACAATGTAGATGGGATGGATTGAAGATTAGGCGAGAATGAGATTGCGATTAGTTGATAATAATCATACAATGCGTTCTGCGTAGAAAATTGAGAGTAAACGTCCTCTAAATATAATTTATCTGACATAATGGCATCTTAAATTTACTATGTAATTGTATGATACTTTTTAATTTGTTCTGTATAATATAATTTATATCGAAAAATACTCAAAACGTTTTCTCCAATATATTCATCAATACATTGTTTTTTCAAAACAAACGATGATCATATTTTATTATCAAATAACGAGGGAATTATAATAATTATTTTTATTTGTTGCTATTCAATTCGTTGTGTTCAATAAAATTTCGAATGCGAATTTTTTCTCTCTGTTGTTTGTCGTGAAAATTGTACAACTTGACGTACAACGAAGATTCCATGTCGATATCCTAGAACGAATAACGCCGATAGTAGCTCTTAGTAAATAGAGAGATATGAATAGTGATTGTTAAATTTCCTCAGCAATCGCAAATAGAATTTAGCTTAGCAATTGCAATGGACTAGCCTTTATAATTGTCACGACGCCGTTCTCGTCGATTATTACAGGATACGACGAGTACAACCCATCGGCGATGTCCCCTGGTTTCTGCACAATGGTCACCATACATACAATCCGATCGCCAGTGCCTTTGTACCAGTCGTGCAAATGATTACACACCGCCGAGATTATAGAATGGCGACCGGTTTTCAGATTAAGTGTTTCCTATATCAACGGCGAGAATAATTAAAGTCTACCGGCAAATACTATAGATGATAATACCGGAAAGTTAGTGTTAATTTGTATTGACTCAGAATTCCCCCCCCCCCCCAACAATAGTGTTTCCCAAATCAACGAATCAAAATAGCATTATTCCGAAACGATGTCTACACTAAAAATTGAAATTGTACATAGGTTTATTAAATATAAATTATTATCATAAGTAATATGCATACGGTATATTGTATCACGATACGTGGCCCTAAAAAGACCTAGCCTTCCGGTATTATTTATAGTATTTGCTACCGGTTAGGTCTACCTAAAACTCCGGTTTTGAAAAATTCATTATCTGTCTATGATTACCTGTTCCGTGTGAAATCATCACAGAACTGTTCAATTATATCAAGAACTTTCAAAATCCTTAGCTTTTTATATGAAACATTAAAAAAATATCTTTGCTCAACAAGTGTTTTTATGTGCGTATTAGTCGTCCAGTAAAACTTGAGCCTGTTCACCCATTGCGAACAGGACGGGTAAATGCGGATACGCATAATTCAATACTTGTCGTGGTTAATGAATTACAGTTAAACTATCTACCTGTTTTCGCAATTACAATTTTGAAAAACTTTGACAGTAAAACATTTTTTTTAAATCGCATACGGAAAGGATTAAAATAAATGTAAATAATATTATAATAATAAAAGACTTGAGATATTATCTTTTTAATTTAAGAGGGCGGCTACACCACTTATTATTTTCGTCTTGGAATAGGCTTTTTTATCTGAATAACTGAGTAGTTTTATTGTCTAAAAATCATATTAACAAAATAATGATCGAGATTTTATATAGATTTTGACTTGTGCGATTTTCGTTAAAACAATTTTGACTCAAGTTATAAATCTTTGAAAATGTATAGATTTTAATGTCCTAAAGCTTAGTTTTAAATATTTAAATAAAATATTCTTTATGCCCAAATCTAGATGAAGTCAATTAAATTTAACTTATCCTAACGCTAAAACTTCTCAGCTTGTAAGAAATATGCACCTCCCGAGACATTTTTGTGCAATCAGCACTTAACAACTACTGTTTTGTAACATTAGAAAACTATGGTGGTATAGAACGTAATATTTAAAGATAAATTGGGCTGTTTAAGTCACTACTACTAAGTATAAATATTGGTAAAATACAAAACTGAGGTTTTAAGAGGGCGTCGCACCGCCCACTTTTAAGGAGTAAAGTATAGGCAATTTTTTACAAAATCTTAATTTAAAGGTTAAACTGTGATGTGTAATTATTAGTTCAATAACTAGGACTCTATTTTGGCAGTTAATTTATTTTTTAGACTATCACAGCATCCTTAAAAGCCATTTAAAAATGTTTTTTCATCTCTTTATGTAAGCAGACTGAAAATAACTCGCTTAACTTTGGTTTTAGAGTAAAAGCACTCATTATAAAATTAAAAGAGGACAATATTCCGGAGGGCAAGACGGTGCGTTTTTTTTATTATTCCAAGTATAACGCTTAATACATAGTTTAGAAATAACGACTATTTTAACATATTTAAATGACTGTAACTTTTCAAAAAATGATTTTTTTTTTTTTTAAAACGCACCGTCTTGGCCTCCGGAATATTGTTCTCTTTTAATTTTATAATGGGTGCTTTACTCTAAAATCAAAATTAGGTGAGTTATTTTCAATCGGCGTAAACATGTTTTTACCACTGAAAATCACCGGTGTGACGCCCTCTTAACAACTGTTTTTGATCAGATTCGATAGATACAGTCAAAATCCAATTTTCGCTGAACATTTAACATAACTTGTTATGACCGCACATCTAAGCAAATAGTATACACGGAAAAATCATATGAAAATTCATGAACTAATTGATTTGAATCTGTGCAATAACCAGACATCTCCGCTTTGTCTAACTTTTCAGCGAAAGAAAAACAATATCGCGGAAAAGCAAGAATTGGATGAACATTTCCTCGATATTAATTATTAATATAATATATAATATATAATATATATATATATATATTAAATGTAAAATAAACAATAATTACTGTCTGTGGTTATTACGCAGAACTGTTCCGTTATGGAAACAAACGTTTGATAGGTATCGTATAACATAGCAAGTCCACCCACATCGAGTAGCAAAAACCGCTAAGATATTCATGCAAAAAAATGAAGAAAAAAAAATGGAGGAGACTGATAAATATCTGCGAACCGACCAAGACGATTAAGTCGTCAGACGCCAAAATTGACAACACTGCGTGGTAATCGGTACCGGTATAAGGTAATTGTCGATCCAGTTCAACGGTAGCAGTTCGACCACGCTTTGGGTTTTCAACTTGCACTGTAAGCTGTCCTTGCCGGGACCGAGTTTTGACCGTTTTTTGGCGTGCACAAAGTCTAAGTAATCCGGACCCCAAACGTACACACCCGTCACGTCTTGAGCGTCACACTGTTGTGCAAAGGAGTATAGTAAAGTATAAGTTAAGCGTACAACTCGTTCACGATTCTCAGCGGTTTAACCATAGTATAATATATTGTGAAAATTATACTTTACGCTGAGTTTTTGTGTGATAAGGGTCACTGCTTTGTTCACATAATGCCTGGATAGACCGGTGAAATTTTCCTTGGACAAGTTTGAAGCGATTTCCGCGAATATCTGTAGCCAAGTGTAGCACTGCGGGCCCATCATTAGTACTCGGGCGTTTGGGTTAGCCAGTCGGTCAAACAATCGCGCCTGCCAGCACAGTAACAATTCGCAACACTTAGCATTTCGATGACTGTGTCATGTCAATAATATTGACCTTGTCTATGAAATACTTGAAATTGACCATGTCCTCTATGCCGATGTGTTGCACGTTCAGATCGGACATCATGATCAGATAGTCGGCGTCCAAAAACGCTTCCCTGATATCCCTGGTCACGATCAACTCTGTATATTAAAGAGAACTTTAACTTAGAGGAACTTTGGCTTACACAAAAAATGTTTTTTAAATTAATTGTGTTTAAGAGAACGCAACATTTACCACTTTTTAAGGGGTTACATATAGAAAAATGTTCGTAAAAAATGTATTTTTAGTTAAAACTATAATAACTCTACGTTTACCAGTACAGTGACAACTGACGAGGATTCATTTAAAATGTCTTTCTTTATTTTTATTAGATTA